GTTCTCGCGACACTTTTATGTGGACACGAATACCCCGGACTTCTCAATTGCCTCGCTTCTATATATACATCCTGACCATAATAGGAGGAGGCCCTGTGTTTACGGGAGGCAATTTCCCCCGCGTGCATATGTGTCGAGTGAATATGCAAAGGTGCAGCCACCTGCGAAGCTGCACCTCCGGGCGAAGTATATTATTATGGATCTCGGGCCATTGCGCTCATATACCCATGTATATACGACCGAACACCCGTCTCCATCCTTCCTTCCCGATTCTCATTCAGGAACCCTTTATTTTCATTTTTTTTTCTGTCACGCCTCTGGAGGCCTCGAATCCCTCACAAACCGAAGAGAGAATCTGACTGGAGGGATCGAGCAAGACCTTTCTCGTCGAATTATAGCTTGAAAAAAAAATATTGTTCAGTACCTGTAGGCCCATTATGCTCGAAGCATGCAGGGTGTATTCCCACGAGGTTCGCGGTGATGGAACGAGGTGTGACGGGTGGGCTCGTGCCGGTGGAAACCGCAGCTTCCTCTATCTCTCCCTGGCTCTTTTTCTGTCATCCGCCTGATTTCCCCTATGATGTTGCGTGTCGCCCGTCCAGAACTCTATGGGCCTTCGGCCATGCATAGCACGACACACTGACGCTTTAATTGTCTATACACTTTTTCTCCCTTCTGTGGCCTTGGCCTTCACGCCTACACACGCACCCCCTGTCATTGAGCTAGAATTTTTCTGCTTCGGGGATGTGGCGACGAAGTAGGATGCGGTGGGAACGACCGACATCGAAAGTCCAAGTTCATCCTCTTGTCGGTGCCGACAAGTGCAGTTTAAACTTTTGGATCCGTCTCTCCAATTGAGTTGTTGGGCGCATTATGGATTGAACTCGTAACTTAGGGCTGGAAAACGAAATCGGAACTCCCTTTTCCTTCCCGCGGAAATAGGCAGAACGGGAGAGAAACCTTTCTGGAACGGCTCGAGACTGACCAGGAATACATAAAATAAGTGTGACACCATTTTGGGAACGGCGGAAAAGGGAGAGGCGGTTCAGGAGTGGAGGGAGCGGGACCAAAAATCAGGAAGAAAAAAAATGGCGAGAATCAGAATTTCTCAAGCCTTCCCTCTAAATTCGTTAGGTAGACGACCCTCTACCTTAAAACATGATCCCCATGATGATTGCGACTGTCAGCGTTTAATATTGCCACGTGTGTGGTGATGGACTCAAGCTGGGTATTTGAATTTCGATGAATTATTCTGCTTAATTTAATCATTCTTATTACAATTAATCAGTAGTAGAAAAGTGCATTACCGCAACTCACCGTCAACTACTCAGCTACTCATTTTTTGAAAGAGTTTTCTTCTACATAGTTACGAACGAGTCACCGATGTTTCCGTTGAATTTGAACAGTCGTCGAGCATCACGGCTGCTTTTGTTGAGTTGGGTGTGCATTCGGCATTGCTAGAGAGTTAGGGTTGGGGCTCCCCTCGATCCCACCAGTTTTTTTCCTCAAAGAATTTCACGGGTCGGTCGCATTGGCGGAGTCTTATAGTGCTCACGCACTCATTGCCATAAGGCGAACGAGGACGAAGGGTAAAAAATAGGGAAAAATGTATTCCTCCCCCCTTTTTTCCGATCCCCCTCGGTCGTCTCAAGGCCGGGCCGGGGTGATCCATAATTAGTAATTGAAAGTTCGGAACGGACGAGCGATCGCATTCATGAATACATGCATCTTTTGCCAGGACGGCAATCATCCTACGGAGGGTAATTTCGTGTTATTGCCGAATGGGGTGCATGTTTGGCCCGGGGGGGCCTGCTGCAGTCCGGTTAGATTATCTCAAGAACCAAACACCCGGTCGGCCCCCTGCAGAATCATGCACATATGTATACACGTCCACCGTGCATAATATCCCCTTATCTCTGTCGCCCATCATAATCGATCCACTAATCGCCTCTGGTCTTGTCTGGCCGGCTGCTCCTGGTCACTTCCACTATAAATTAAGATCCCTCCGATCGCCCTTGGGAGCACAAAAAAATCATCGTAGGGAGTTTTGCAGAGAAGCTAAGTTGGGGAGTATTTGCCGGCGACCTTGACGATATCCCCCCCAGTTAAACATGTGGAACTGGAGCACGCAAAAGCTACATTTATATTTACCACCGAAGAAGTACATGGAAAGGAACCTTCCCCCCTCAACAACTCCCTCCCTTCCATGCCCTGTAGCAACGCCTCCATCCGTGTCAACTCGCCCTTCTCCTCCTCCTCCTCCATCGTTTACTTCCTGCATGGCCTTCCCAGGTCCTTTGCATTTTTATTATTATTGTTATTTCTTGCCCTCCCCTCCATTTTCTTCCCCGTCTGTCGGCTCGAGTCAAAGAAGACCCTGGAAGTCGACGCCTCATGCGAGGTAGTAAGAAGTTGCGAAAGGGGTGATTGGGTGTCCTGATGGGGAAGTTAAAAAGCGTTCTGCTCAGAGGTTCGAGTGTACGGCATGGAATCTGCAGACTAGTCTATAACATGCCAACAATACAAATACAACGATATGTATTCCGTGTGACAACCTAGCATTATAAATATATTCCATACCTAACAATAGAACAATATCTATCAGTACCTGACAAAGTAACAATATATATCTAGATCTGGAAAAAAAAACAGCTATACAGGTTCCGTGTCCGGACTCCAACCTAAACAGATGGGCATTGCAAGTGCGTATCCAGGAAAAACTGAGGCTGGGTTGGCTCGAGCTACTTGCTCCTTCTGCATAGTGGCGGAGATCAGCACTGAGGAAGGTTGTTTCAACTTGCCCAGCAGCAGCTTTCTGAAAGAATTGTTTCATCCATTCATCGAAAGCTCGATCTTCTTCGTGATGCTGATACACTGCTTCACCAACTGCTGTCTTTATATCCCTTGATTCTTGAGCAAAATATGAACTTATTTTGATACCATTTGATTGGACCACGATGACTTCTGCGCGATGTAGCCCGGCGTGACCTGTACTGTCCAGCCGTACAGAGGCTGATAATCGTGGAGTGGGCCGAACCCCCCTCGGGGTTCGAGGCAATACCCGAACTGAATGGAGGGGGTATCCCACGTGGGAAACAATAGGAGGAACCGTCATTCATATCAACTGCCCGTAATGACCGTCATTCGGTACTCGAGTGCACCTGCAATCACACGAACCCCGAAAGGGTTCCAGGGACACAGTTCCACGGTTTCCACGTGCATGGGGGTCCCAGTAATGAGCTGCGATTGAGGCGTTAATTGCTACTAATGACAACCGTGATGTGTGACTCTCTTCAGTACCAGTAAAGTTTTATGGGCGTTGTTGTACTCATACGAGGGCGGGGGGATATCATTGCATCATTGCAGGCGCACCTGCAAGTAAGGACAGGCTGGAAATGAATATTGCTCGGATGACTGACCGCAGGTACACACCTTTCTTTTTTTGTGTCGTATACGGCGTAATTGGTCCGTGTCCTCTCTGCGAATGAATGGCCCCATTTCCTGTCCTGAGAGGGTTAACAAAAAAAAAAACATACCCGCTGGGGGAGACAAAGCTATAGGTCAAAGACGCGCGTCATATTTAAAAGTAAAAAAGAAAAGGAAAAAAGTTAAAGGGGGAGAGATGGATGAAGGGGTTTGAAGAGGATTTTCGGCCATCAATCCGAGAAAGGAACCATATTTCAAGGGATGGCCTTTTCCCTATGAACATCGAACCACGTCACGTCTTCCTGCTCCACAGGGTTCGCCCCCTTCAGTCCCTTCTAGCATTCTCCCCTCCTTCATTGCATATATAAATACACGCTCCTCAATTTTTCCCAAGCCCTTCGTATATTGTCCTCGGGGAATTCCGTGCCTTCATTTTCGCCTGTAATTCAAATTACAGATGGAACGAAAGCCTCTTGGCAGTATATTTTCTCGGTTTTCAATCCATGAAAGCGCTGGAGTGAAATGGTTTCCCCCGATCCGTTTCTTTTTCGTGACGTTCCTGCATCAGTCAGATCGAGCTGCAATTTATCTCAGACCCCACCATCCGCCTGTCGCACAGGTTTCCTGGGTTTTCTAGTTCTATTGTATTCAGGAGCTTCCCGTTGATCGGAGGATAGGGTAGAAGGATCGTAGGCATCATTTCCGAGTCGTTGACTCCCATTGTGTCGGTTGGCAACTCCCGTCTCTTGGGGCTTCAAGCCGTGTCCAAATGCATGGAAGATGACATTCCTGGAAGAAGGGGGAAGAAAATTACCCGTTGGGGTAGGAAAGAAACGAAGGCTGGCGTGTTATGTGTGCAGGGTTCGTCCTTGGCCCCTGGGCTCTGGTATTTGAACCCCCCCCCCCCCTCTTTTCCTCCCTTCTAGCCCATTCTCCCCTTCTCCCCGACCACAAGGGTGTATAATAGCCGGTGAATGGGGGAGTGGACATATTTGAGGAGGGAGGTGCCCCCCCTTCCTTCTCTGTGTTCCTCCCCTCTAGGTTCGCTCGAGCTCCGATCCGGTCACGCACTTCATCCAAGGATTCCCGATAGGATTATCTCGCTAGTTGCCGAGAGGTGGAATTCATTGCGACTTACCGGCTTTACTTGGATTACTTAAATGTTAACGTTCGCCAACCTTGCAGGGCTTTCCGTGGCAAATGAAAAGTGTTTGCTGTTTTTTTTTATACTTCGCCAGACTAATATATCGCCATTATATTGTCCATAAATCAGCAGCGCAGTGCTGCTGTAACCGAAATGCAGTAACTTGGAATAGTACCACGGGTTAACATAACAAGACGGAATCGGGCGCCCGATGCGTAGCATAGCGGGGCTTCCAAGTAAGTAGGTCGAGAACTGGTGCAGTACCCAGCGGAGACCAGAGAGGGGAGAGAGGATGGTGTTGGAGTCGAAGGTCAACACCAGCGGTCAGCGGCAGGGGGAAGAGGGGCCCCCAGGCAGCGCATGCGCACCGTCTCATAACACCAGTGGGGGGCATAGTGCTCTTCCTCCCTCTCTCGCTCTTCAGTCGGTGGCCGGACGCCGCACCGGGGGTTCACCCGAGCGTTTACTTTTTTTTTGCGCCCCGAGATGGCATGAATGAGGAAGGAATCATGGAAGACGTGAAACCCGCTTTCAATAACGGGCAGGTCGTATTTGGATCTATGCTAGTGGATTCCAACTCTGCCACGCCTTATTCTGATGCTACCAAGGTGAGTGTCTTTTTCTATCCAGTCTATACTCATAGCCGTAGCTAGTCTAGTCCATGGTCAGGACTATACCCTTAGTTAGTGGGCATGTGTATCTTGGACTCATCAAGCCTGTCGAGATCATATCAACAAAAAGGAAGATGTTAATGACTGCGATAGACTAATACATAATTGGGACCTTGATACTTCATAGCGTAACCGCCATAACGACGTAGTTTAACCGTCAGGGGTGTCAGATCACAGGGAGCAGCGTCAGGCTCATACTGGCTTCTTGATGACTCCTTCAGTTCTCCAAACGGGAGGGAAAAGTTTTGCATTAACTTGGATTGTCACAGCCATACTTGTAGACAACCCATGGAGAACTGTCTCTTAGCAGCGGAAGCTCTTGGGTTCATATGAATGAAGTTCCTTGTTGGTTCTGATTCTGCTGTAAGTTTTCAGCAAACAGGATCGATTCCAGTCCCAATGATATGGTGTAGTGCCTAGTTTGCTTGATATTGTTTTGATGCCTGATTTTCAAACTCCGGAAACCGTTCGTACTACTCTTGAACGTCTAATGAAAGATTCGTGAGAACCCTTTTCGATCTCATCACGCAAGATGGCACTTTAAATCCAGAAACTTATCGCGCTCAGCTAGAAAGTTGCTTTTTCTACGTATTTCAATCATTATATTTATTCACAAACTTCCAGACTGTTTCCTCTTTTTTTTTGCTATTAGTTTATGCTTTGATGTAGGACATTGACATCGAGCAACATCGGTTCCGAAGGAACTTCTGCCGAACTTCCCCATGGTAATATCCACGATGTCAAAAGGTGGTTCAGGAAAAAGCAAGGTAACCATATCGTATGGGACTGGATCGAAAATAGGGCATGGCAGAACGAATTGGTATAGAGGGGAAGTATATTGTAGGCGGAGCTGTTCCATCATGCAAATCAGGAGTCAATAAGCTGAACAGGACTTCGCGGATGGAATTGAGGTTTAGGACTTTTTTCCCTTATTATTCCCTTGGAGTAAATCACGTCGTTACGAGTGGCTCTTTCGTCACCTGGGAGGGTTTTAAAATCCCCGTTATTCCCTTGCGCGGTGTAGCGTAGGGGAAACTCGGGTGCCATTACAAAAGACAATGTGAACTTTTTTACTCTTTGTCTATCCCCCCCTTTCGTTGATCCTCTGGAGACGGTTGAGAAGATGGTCCTTTTTTTTTTATAGACTCTTATTCCTATGAGGGCTTGACCCCAATTGCCGTTTCGGTTGCGAAGGGGAGTTCACTGACACGCCGGCAACCCGCTACGCCGCACGTTCCAGCGCGACAGCTGCGTTTCAGGCGGTGCTCGAGCGCTGGAGACATCAATTACAGTTTCGTGGCAACAAGCAAATTTGCTTTAAAATTTTTAGATCACTTAAGAGGCTCTTATTATTATTCAGTCAGAATTTCTCTTGAAGTGAGTTTGTTAGGTCGTAAGGGTTATTAGAATTCCTTTCCACACCAATTTCTCGAAATGGATTACACGCACCACGCACTCGTGGGCGTCTTGATTAGAGGCCCAATGTCATGTGTGGACTGGTCACCTCTTGATGGATCATTAAAGCAGGCGTTCTGTCCGGTTGCAGACGAAGAAGCACCGTCCGAATCACATAAAGCGGCCGATGAACGCGTTCATGGTGTGGTCGCAGCTGGAGCGGAGGAAGATCTGCGAAGTTGCACCTGAACTGCACAACGCAGAGATATCCAAGCAACTTGGGAGGCGGTGGAAGCTCCTCACGGATGGCCAGAGGAAACCTTTCATCGAAGAAGCCGAGAGGCTTCGCCTCCTGCACTCTCAGGAGTACCCAGACTATAAATATAGACCCCGCAAGAAACCCAAGAACAAGGATGAATCTCAGGAACATACCAAGCAATCTCAGGTCAAGAAGAGGAGCCATCATAGGTAAGTTCGACGATGATATAATTTCATTCTAATAGAGAAAAGGGAAAAAACGCAATGCCAGGATGTTGATTTCCTTTTCTCATCGAAGACAATAGGAAAATCTCTCTTCCTGTTGACAGACTGGAAAGGCTTTTTTCTCATCTATATTTTTTGTTATGGTTCATGTAGGTATGAGAGCGGGAAGAAGCAAGGAACGGGGCCTGGGAACGGGATCCAGACGAGCAAACTCGTCCTGTCAACACAAGCGAACCTGAGAGAGGTGCCTCATGGGGCCCAAGTGACCCATAAGGTGCCGCCGTCTCCGACGGGCTCCGAGACACCGAGTTCCCCTGGGTCTCTCCACCTTTACGAGGATGGGATCCCCCCTGGTGGGTACCCACCCCCGTCTGCACTCCTCACGCCGGCTTCTTTATCTCCGGCTTCCCCGCCTACCCCGCCTCTGCCCACCTTCTCGTCCCTGAAGAGCCCCCTGGAGCCTCTGGATGTCCCGTTGGAACTGGACGCCCTGTGGCAGGGCAACTACCTCACGGATCCCACCTGCAACAACCTGGACGTGAACCTAATCGATATGGACGGGCTCTTCGATTCCCAGGCCTTCCCATCCGTCTTGCTGAATTCTCTGTGAGATATTTTTCCCCCATCTCTTCTGTGCCACTCTCATCATACACACATTCCTCAATATTTGTCTCTTCCTTGGATGACTGGATCTGTCATTTGCATCGGATCCCTTCATCCAAGGACTTCCCTCCCATTTCCAATGATTTCTCAATGCACCTTTGATCTCAGATAGTCCTCGATGTGTTGGATCTGAAATTTTTTGTCTCTAAATTTCTTTTTTTTTCTGTATTATGCAAACACGTGCCCTCGCGTGTTTCCATCTCGGTGCTATACAGAGATTGTTTATTGTGTGTCTGTTAAACGTTCTTTCCATGAACCCGAGAGCAATGTAAGGTCTGTGAATCAGATGTTATTTCTCTAGAGGAGGAGTTCCAAAGGGATTTTATTTAGACGATACTTGCTTTGTTTCCACTCTCACTCTTTAGCATTTAGTCAAGGATGCATGATTTCTTGTGTGAAGAAAATCTTAATCCTCTTTTGTCGGGACCAAACCCCGTCTTCCAATCGCCATTCCCACCAAATTGCAAACCTGAAATTGAATATTTTCTTTTTTTATTTGTCGCTTTTGGAGACGTCATATTATATACAGCTCAACCAAAGTGTGTCTTCGAAGGAAAGGCGATGTCCTTTTTCCCTCTCTCTCTTTATCTTTTCCGAGATATTTGTTGGATCTTTTGTGTTGTTTTTTTTTGTATAGAATTTGTTCAGCCGCAAAATGAAGCAATAAAGTCAGGTTTTTATTCATGTGGAGAAGATCTTGTCTGGATTTCCACTGTCATTGAGGTTAAGGCCATGCTGTGGTCTTCCGAGTCCCGGATGAGAATGGCCGCCCTCTCTGTCATTGTCAACCCTCCATTAGCTTCTTCCAAGTGGCGGGAAATGAAGCATGAGTCTTTTTCTTTTTTTTTTTCTCCATCAGAAAGAAAAAAATGAAGGCCTCGACCGAAATTGTCAGTGCGTCCCTAATTGACGAGGAGGGGTCTTCCCGTTTGTTTGACGTGCGAGTTTTTTTCCTTATTCTCACCGGATACGCGATAGGACAACCCCACATCACGTTGAATCCGCCTGATCATTATCGGGAATGTGATTAATGATGAAGAGCCACTCGAGAAACGACTGTCTTGTGTGTCCCCGTGGGTGCCATCCGACTTTTGCCGTCCTTGGCACCGTAATTACCCGGATCTTCCCATCTGGTCCGGGCGAATCCATGGCACGAAAGAAGGAAAGGGATAAGTTCCGTCGCAAACTCGCGTGATATTGCTGCGTGTGTCGCATGTGAATTCAACGCCGTGTTGCTATACGTATTGCCGTCCTGCTTGACCCTAATCCTTGTTTCTCCAAAAAATTGGGGCCCACTTAAGTACTCCAATTTGTCCCAACATTTATACTCAGGGTACGAGTGGTTGGCCCTTTATAATGATGTGTGGGAATTTCCATAACGGGTTGAGAGTTTCCCCTTTCTAACTAGGTTTTAACGTCATCTTGAGGATAAATGAAGGCATGTAAACCCACTGGGCGTCTCTGGGCGAACCGCAGCTGGGTTTTTCGTTGAATATGCAATTTTTGTTGATTGTTCGTAGCAATGTCCACTTTCACATCGACTATGCGAAGACACTTGCGCAGTTGCACTCCTTTTCTGATTTTCTCTTAATCACCACTCGACATTTCTCACGTTCACTATCGTTTTCCTTATACAATCATTAATCGTTCCTCGACTCATTTATTTATTTATTCCTTTCTTCCCAGACTCTCATCCGTTTTTAGGTTCAACTTCGTTGTTTTAATTGTGTTTCTGCTCGTTCTGCTTTGGCCCGCGGTATAGCCCCATAGGGATATCCATTTACTTCCGTCGAGTCGCGAGTTTGTCAGTAGACTAGGAAGCATTCACGTGATATGAAATATGTAATTATGAACCTGAGTAGTGAAATTCACTCTCTTGCTGAATGAAGATGTCATGACCGAGCATGGTTACTCTCGCCATCTACTAAGAGACGTCGCTTCCTTCTCTTTCCTGTTCCCACAAAATTGTAAAAAAGCGAACTATAGAGTAGAACCAAGGAACCACGGGGAAAAAAGGGAGGCTGCGAAGGCGTTCCAGAAGTTTCTACGGGGGGGGAGGTCCAAAGAAAAGGCAACCGAAGCTAAAATGTAATTAAGGGTGAATTTTTTTTCATATACACACATTTTAACTGTATTTGGCCTGATCCATAGCTTCGGAAATAGTGTTCGACTATATATGCACGCTCCTCAACAGAATATTGAGGCATGCTAATTATCCGATGTTGCCATGAAATGATAAAAGACTCATTTTCAGTTAACTTTTTTATTAACCACCCTGTATATTCTCACCTGCTATGTACAGGTATATGTAAATTAAGTGGTAGGAGATGGCCATTCACATTTTTATCGTCATGCCTGTTAATTTGCTTTTCTTACCATTATTGCATGACATAAGCAGAGATACTCCATGTTCGAGGTCGGGGAGAATCCAGAGAGCATAAAAGGGGATCGCAGTTTTGAAAGAGTAGGGCCGTCGCCTCCTGGCGCCATCTCTCTCTCAAACAAGGAACTCGATCAACTCATTTTCCTCCTTTCACCATTTCTACTGAAAATTCCGTGCGAAGGGGTGGGCAGACCTGTCGCTACGGCCCCTCCAATAAAAGGATGAAGCAATTGCATTCGGCACTTGCGCCCTCCTCGACGCTTCCTAGAAAAGAAAACAAGCTTTTTGGAGGCCCCACATGGCGTTTCCTTAGGCACGTTTTTACAGCTCCTAATAGAGAGAGGGGCCCGAAACGCCGAGTGGAGTGGGGCTCGATACGCCAAGGGACGGGCGGACACTAGCCTTTTACACGCGTCCCTTTTATGGCTCGAAGATGAGGACGATTCGCTCCGATGACAATCCCCCAATTTTCGCACCCAACGGGGGGTAATATATAGGAACGAAGACTTCCTTCTTTTTTTTTTTTTGAATGATGTCCTCCCCGGAATCCCCTGTTGTGTCACGGATCTTGTTCCTGATAGACGTTCCGTTCCGCTTCCGGTCATACCCTTCCTGATGATCATCCTCATGATTATCCATTGATTACACGCGTCCAGCGCTTTGCTTTCTCGCTTCAGAGCACGTTTGTCCTCGATATCCCTCCGCGTCAGTGCGAATAAGGGCCGAAGAAACAAATGGGGGGAGGGGGGGGGGTGAGTACCCGGTGGAAGTGAGACGAGAGATGGAGTTGATAAAAAGAAATTGGACATAAAAAATTGATAACATCGAAGCGGTGCATAGCATGACGAAATAAAAATCAACATGCAACTAATCCATGTTGTAGGTAATGACCGTTGACGAAACTCGACAAGAATCTCTGGAAAACAACATGCAGAAAATGCGCAAGTGGACCGACGATCCAGATCGGGATCCTCACCTCGTCCCACCGGTCTCGAAGAGGCTGAGGATTCTTAATGAGGGATCTAAAGGGGGATCCGTCGGATAGCAAAGGAATTTACCGCCGGACGTCGCAAGTATGTGGAAAATGGACCCGGTCGTCCTTCTCACATGAGACGGCTTCTTTTGGTATGCCGTGTAAACTCAAATCAAGTACCTTTTTTTGTACTTTTTTTCCTTTTTTATTTATTTATTTTTTTTTACTGGTGCACTCCATCCTCGCCCGTCTCAATTTTTCCAAGGGAAAAGCATGATTTTAGGCTCGTGCATTCATCAAGGTCACCGTAATGGTCCCGGATTAAGAAAAAAAATCGGTACCGTCAAAGGCGTAAATGCCCTCCGCCCGACGAGATTACGGTTGGCGAGATTGAAATCCTGTTTACGACCTTGCGAAGATGCAGTCTTAGAGGGTTGTCTCTCTCTCTCTCTCTCTCTCACCCCCTTCATGCATGAAACGAAGGCCATAGGAGTCAGATTCTCCCCGAGGGGAAGAAGCATTATTATAATACAGGCGCAGGTGTAGCAGTAGGACGGTAGCTCGGGGATCATTAGTCATGTCGCCTGGTTCCATGCGCCCTTAAGGCCTCGATTCTTTTTCTAATCCTTCCCCTTCGGTTTTCGACCCGATCGGGTCTTGCGAGCTCGGGGCTATGACCTTCGTCTGCGATTTTTAGAAAACGCGGACGTGCCGGTCGATGGCGTCGAAAATTTGCGTGGCCGCTTAGCGAAAATTATACCGAAATCGCTCCCCGTATTTTCCCCGATGGATCTTTTCTCATCCGCGAAGTGAAAATTAACGCCGGTCTCGTCACACTCCCTGATGCAACAATCGTCCGTGAGTTATACGCCAATTCCCAGGTGAAGAGTGTTTCCGGGGGGGAAAAGGAGAAAGGACTCGCAAATGAATGGACATAAACTGACCCCTGTCGCTCTTTTCGCTCTCTTTGTTCGGCGGGAAAATTTTCTCCCATATAACGGGTTGAATGCTGCAGTTTCCTTGCCAAAATGATTGCATGCGCGTCTTTGTTTCGAGTGTCATTATGGGAAAGTAGGGTTTCGGGAATAGCCTCTCAAACACAGTTAAAAATTTGGGCTTCCCTGGAAAAAAAAATTCAAGAAGGGGTTGCCGGTCGTAAAGAGCAATTAGGTGCAGGAAGCCCAGATATGGTATTGCTCTCCATTCGTAAGTCGTAAAATAAATAAGGACGGGACGCATATATCGTGATGCATGGGTGAAACGCCTGGAAGAAAACCGAGAGAGCGGAGAAGGAAGGATTTCGACGTTAGAGTCGCCAAGGACTCGATGAGTCACGTCGAGCGAGTCCTTGAACTTGGCCGGCCACTTAATAATTTCTTCTTCCGGTCCCCATGCTTCAAAGCCCTTTCCTCACCTCGCCGTCAAGGCTTTTCCTTCCCCTCGCCTTTAAGGTCAGGAACCGAAATGCGCTCTCGTCGATTTTCCGGGTGTTCTCACACGAGAGGTGAGAATCGCGTGAGTCATTTGCGAGCGTAATGAAAACTGATGGAAACTGATGAAAACTGATGAAAACTGATGAAAACTGATGAAATGGAATGGAATCGATGTCGTCCCATTTTCACGAGGACTTTCATCGCGTCGCATTCGGTCGATTCGTTTCTCCCTCCCGGATTTGCACTTGAATCGAGATCGTTTGCCTGCCGAAGAAAAGGCGAGGATAAAAGCGGTTAACGCGCGAGTAAACGGGGGGCATGAATCACGAGACGAGTACGTACACAGAAGAAACGGGCAAAAAAAAAAAAAAAGACGCATTCCGCGGAGGCCATTGCTCACTCGATTGAAGGACGGGCGTTTATAATATGCTGGTACCGGTCGGGTCGTATCGAAAAGAAGAGTCTCGGGGTATGGTACGGAGTAGTAAAAGAAGGGGGAGGAAAGGAGAAGGTAAAAAGAAAAAAAAAGTGTGGCCCAGGGGCTGAGAAACCGCCAAGGATATTCCCATGTCCAAGAATTATAATGATGCATAACTCCAGTACTCCTTTACATAGCGGGGGACCGGGGTAAAAAACAAGAAGGAGACCCCTGATGAGATGGATTCTCATCGGTTTATAAAGACCCCAAGGGGTTTTTTTTTTTTTCAGTACCTCTCGATGACAAATGAGAAGAGGGCGAGACTTTTATCATATTGGTACCCTCGTGAAAGAGTGCTTCTGCGATGAATGATGTTGTTTTTAAGTGTTGTTGTTCTTGGGATTTATTAACACCGTCGCCGTCGCTGTTGCCACTAAAAGTTCCC